GGTTGGAAATGTATAGTACTTGCCACTGGACTTTGATATAAATCATTCCAAAGGGGTGCCTTTTTTTTTTTTTTTTTTTTTTTAAGTTTTTGTTTGTTTGAGAGAGAGAGAGAGAGCACAAGGCAAGGAGGGGTAGGGGAAGAAGCGGGCTCCCTGCTGAGCAGGGCTCCATCCCAGGACCCTGAAATCATGACCCCATCGGAAGGCAGACGCTTAACCAACTGAGCCACCCAGGGGTCCCTGATCATTCCGAAGGGGTTCCTTACACACTTTTGTCCAGCCCCTTCTCTGCGGTCACTGGCTTGCAGAAGAGGGAGCCTTCTGGTGCAGTGTAACCACTAGGTGGCACTGCGCACTGCTGGGCTAGTTCTGTGTCCAGCTGTCCAGCTACTGTGTTTCCGTTGGCTGTGGACAGGGTCCTTTTCATACCTGCTAAATCATAATTCTCCTCCAAAATTTATAAACTTAGCCAATTTTAAGAACCATTTCATTTTTCTTAGAAAGGATAGAATTTTGGATCATGAATTGGGAGGGACTTCGCTTGGAACATTTTCTGGAATTAGTCCGTTCCTAATTGTTACGGTAAAACTCAACTCAGCCTCTAGCGGCTCCTCAGCGCGCCCAGGGCCGAATGAGCTATGAATTACACGACCGAAGGACTAGCGTGTGGACTGCAGAGTGCTTGGAAATGCTTCCTGAGACCCAAGAAAAAAACGAAAACCTCCAGAACAAATCATGCTGAACACTTCGATGTGCTCCCCACAAACTTTTTCCCCCCCCACAAACCGTTTTTAAATAAGCCTTTCAGGTGATTTCTGAGGCTAAAGTGTTGAAACACTGTTTTACGAGATGCATAATTAAAAGGCAGTTTCCCTTCTGACCCAGGCACCATCCTGCCGGCTATTTGTCTAGCTTCAGCAAGCCTGCAGGGGTGATGATAAAAAGCATTCCTGGGGTCTGGTTCTATATTTCCCTGTATGGAGAATGCCACCCATGCTGGGCATCAGAAAGAGCACACAATTAGCTGCAGCCGTTGTTCAAGACTGTTGTCACAAAGCCCGGCACACACAACAGGTGTTCAGGGGATATCTGTTGTCAACAATAAAATAAAACATTTTATAGACATAGTACTATATACATTGAACCTCATATACATAATATTGAGTAAATGAAGCCAAACACTGAAGTTCTACACACTCCGACTTCATTAGATGAATACCAAGAAAGAGCAAGACTAAAAAGGACAGAAGTCAGAAAAATGCTTGCCTCTGAAGAGGGAGGATTGACTGACAGAAGGAAGTATCGACGGATGGCAGAATGAAGGCGTGTCTGCGCTGCTGGAAGAGGATCTGGGTGATGGCTACACCGGTGCATAGATACATTAAAAAAGTCAAAAGCCCGGCTGGAAGGGAAGACAGGAAAACAAACATGAAAACGAAAATAAGCTAAAGAAAAAAAAGGAAGAGGGTAGAAATACAAGAAATACAAAGGACCATAAGTTATATAATTGGAGTCTTTAAAAAAGAAAACAAAGCAATGGAACAGACCACCAGCATTTAAAACTATAATCCAAAAAACATTTCAGAAATCACAAACACCTGAATCTACATATTGAAAAACCTGCCAACTACCTGAGAAAATTAACCTAAAACAATAGACTCTGAGACATATCTTGGCAAAACTGTCAGATTGTAAAGATAAAGAAAAACATTCTGAAATCCTCCACACACAAAAGGACATAATTTGCGAGTGTAAAAGAATGAGATGAGCACCAGACTTCTCTCAAAAGCAGCATAAAAGGAAAGCAAAAATGGAGTGGCATTTTCTAGAAACTGAATGAAAAAAAGTGTGATCCATGGAAGCCAAACTCTTTTTCAAGTGTCAAGACAAACATTTTTTGGAATTTAGGACCTTTTCTGAGGTATCTTTTAGGGGTTAAGCTTCATCCAACCAAGAGATGATTTGGAAAATTTTAACAAAGGTCTGGTGGGGGGTCCTGGCTGGCTCAGTTGGTAGAACATGTGACTTTTGATCTCGGGGGTCCTGAGTTTAAGCCCCACATTGGGTACAGAGATTGCATACATACATATATGCATACAAAAACACAAAGGGCTGGTGGTATTTTAGTACAGATCACTGCAGATCAAAGATGAAAACAAAGGTAGAAATGAGGGTAGAAGACCACAGTACAAGTGTAAGACATTGTGACAAAGCAGAAATCATGCAACCAAAAGATGGGACAAGGAGGAAAAAAGGGGAGGGGAAATGTTGATTGATTGTCTCAGAGTCAACAGGTAGGGATTAAAAGAGGCCGTTAAAACTGATGATCTTGCAGATATTTGTCAAAAAATTTTCTTAAAAATGGGGGACACCAGGGTGGCTCAGTTGGTTAATCATCTGCTTTCAGCTCAGGTCATGATTCCAGGGTCTTGGGCTTGAGTCCCACATCGGGCTCTTTGGTCAGCGGAGAGCCTGCTTCTCCCTCTGCCTGCCTCTCCCCCTGCTTGTGCTCTCTCTGTCTCTCTTTGACGAATGAATAAATAATCTTTTAAAAAAATTCTTAATAATGTGTCATTTATTAGGTCATGAGAAAAACTTCAGTAAGTTCTATCAGGTGGCTATTTCATGGACAACATTCTCTGATCACAATACAGTAAGACTAGAAAATATTAACTAAAAAAATTTTAGGGGGCGCCTGGGTGGCTCAGTGGGTTAAAGCCTCTGCCTTCGGCTCTGACCCAGGGTCCTGGGATCAAGCCCTGAGTCGGGCTCTCTGCTCAGCAGGAAGTCTGCCTCCCTCTCTCTCTGCCTGCCTTTCTGCCTATTTGTGATTCCTGTCTGTCAAGTAAATAAATAAAATCTTTAAAAAAAAAAATTTAGGATTCTTAAATTTTTTAATTTATAAAATTTTTAAATTGTATTTTTTTTTTTTATTTGACAGACAGAGATTACAAGTAGGCAAGAGAGGCAGGCAGGGAGAGAGGAGGAGGCCCGCTCTCCGCAGAGCAGAGAGCCTGATGTGGGGCTCGATCCCAGGACCCTGGGATCATGACCTGAGCCGAAAGCAGAGGCTTTAACCCACTGAGCCACCCAGGTGCCCTTAAATTGTATATTTAAACAAATTTCAGTTTAAGAGGAAATGAAACAAGAAAAAATTATTTTGTGACGCTGTGTGGTGATGGATGTTAACTAAATGTATTGTGGTGATCATTTATGTGAACTAAATTTATGTGGTATACATATGCATGTGGTATACATATATACATATACATATGCCAATTATATCTTAATTTTTAAAAAGAGGAAATATAAACTTTAATTATGGAATTTCTAAAACAATGATTAATGAAAATACTCCATATCAGAATCTATGGGATACAGTAAGACTATGATCTAAGTAAATTCACAGTACAACAAAATATTTTCATCAATTAAAAACAAAAGAATGAAAATAAATTAATTAAATTATTAGCTCAAAAGACAAGGGGGGAAAAATAGGAAAAGAACAACAAAGTAAACCAAAAGAAAGCCCAGGGTAGGAAATAATAAGGTAAGAGTAGAAACTTAGAGTCAAGGAATAGAAAAATAGAAAATCTAATTAATAAATCAAAATCCTGATTTCCTGAATAACTTAACAAAATAAACAAATCATTCTCTAACTTGATCAAGAAATAAGGGAGAAAGCACCGACGTACAAAATAAAAAACGATGAGAGATATACCATGGAAACAGAAGAAATTTTAAAAATCATGGGAGAAAATAAATAAATAAAAATCATAAGAGATTAATTTGCAAAGCTCTATGCAAATAAAATTTTAAAACCTAGATAAAAGGTATATCTTCCTTTGGAAAAATAGAGAGGTGTAAAAGTTGGTGAAGAAAAAGTAAAAACATCTATATTGCAGATGACATGATAGTGTACCTGGTAAGACCTTGAGAATCAAGAATAAAACTAACCCAATTGGCAGAAGAATTCTGAGATATAACAAGATATAAAATTAACACACACAGATCAAGAGCCTTCAAATGCATTAATAATAACCACTTAGAGGATATAATAGCAAAGAAAACCCCACTGACAGTAGCAAAAATTAAGTATATAGAGGTAAATTTAACAAGAAGTGTAAAAAACTTGTATGAGTGAAACTTTACAATATTTCTGAAAGATACAAAAAATAGACTCGATCGAATGATAAAACATTTTCTTTTTTTTTAAAGATTTTTATTTATTTATTTATTTGACAGAGAGAGAGAGATCACAAGTAGGCAGAGAGGCAGGCAGAGAGAGAGGGGGGAAGCTGGCTCCCTGCAGAGCAGAGAGCCAGATGCAGAACTCGATCTCAGGACCTTGAGATCATGACCTGAGCCAAAGGTAGAGACTTTAACCCACTGAGCCACCCAGGCACCCAATAAAACATTTTCTATGACAACACAGTGTAAAGGTATAAATCCTTCCTAAATTAATTTATAAAGTTAATATACTCCCAATAAAAATACCAACAGTTGATAATAAAATTCATATAGAAAAACAAACCAGAAAGAATAACCAAAAAAGTGGTGAAAAAGAAGTACAGGGGCACATGCGTGGCTCAGTGGGTTGAGTGTCTACCTTCAGCTCAGGTCGTGGTCTCAGGGTCCTGGGATCGAGCCCCAGATCCAGCTCTCTGCTCAGCAGGGAGCCTTCTTCCACCACGGCCCGGCTACCTGCCTCTACCTACTTGTGATCTCTATTAAATAAATAAAATCTTTAAAAAAAAAAAAAAAGTACAGTGAGGACCTAACCCTACCAAACATTAAAACATGCAATAAGGCCTCTACATTTAAAGCAAACTGGTACAGATGTACAAACAGACTGACACTGAAACCGAACAGAAATCCCAGAAAGAAACTCTAGTAGATAATGAAATTTGTATACAACAAAAGTGGCATCTGAAATCACTGGGGTAAATAAAAGAGGCAAATGAGTAGCCTTTTGGAAAAAGATAAAATTATATCCATACCTTATTCCATGCACAAGAATAAACTCCAAACTGATCGAAAATCTAAATGGAAAAAAGGCAAAACAAACAAACAAACAAACAAAAACCACCTAAGTTACTAGAAGAAAATGTAGGTAAATTCTATTTAAATCCAAGTACAGGTTTCCCCCATTTCTGCAAGTAGAATGTTCCTATGAAACCTTTTGTAAGCCAAAATAAAATAAATCAAAGAAAACACTTACCGTGATATGGAAAAAATTTTGAGCATGCCCAGACCCAAAAAATAACCTCTTCTAGGCTTTTCTGGTACCTTAGGGCACATCTTGCTAACGGATACACAAAATAGATAGAGGTAGAGCACAGACGCTCACAGACACGAGCTCCTGCCCAGCCTGATGCTGAGGTCCTCAGTGCTGCGCCCCGGAGGAAGCGCGGGGAGGAAGCTAGCCGGGGCCGCGCTCTCTACTTGGCGTGCAAACTGCCTCCAGGACTTCTCGCGGCAAAACCAACACTGAACGATGTTTTTGCCCTTCACCTCTCTTCATAGAAGCAAAAAATCCTCTTTAGATCTCTTTCCCTTAGCAAAAACAGGTCCTAATGTAGGGCTCTTGTCAGAGTGAAATGGCATCACGAAGACTTTTGAAAAATGGGGAAAAGTTTTCAAACTAAAGATCCAAGAGTAATAAAAGATTGATAAACGTGACTATGTACAAATAATTTTTGAAAGGTAAAAACAATACCACAAAGTAAAAAGGTAACTGGTACACTAGGAGAAAATATTTGCAACACACATGACTGATAAAGGGCTATTATCACCCGCTTATTTTTAAACTCTGAAACTGAAGAATGAAAAGACCAAAACCTCAACAGAAAATAATGAAGGGAAAAGGTACGAACAGACAATTCACACAGAAGTACAAAAATGGTCTTTAAAATAAAGATGTTCAATCTCACTCATAATTAGAGAAATGAGAATTGAAACTACACTCATATACCACTTCTCACTTACCAGATTGGCAAAAATTGGGGAAAAAACAAACAAAAAACTTGTGACAGTACATTCTATTGGTAAGGCTGTGGGGAAACAGGTACTGTCATAGATTGCTAGGTACAAATTAAAATGAGGGGGTGCCTGGGTGGCTCAGTTGGGTAAGCGTCTGCCTTCGGCTCAGGTCCTGATCCCAGGGTCCTGGGATCCAACCCCAGATCTGGCTCCCTGCTCAGCGGGGAGTCTGCTTCTCTCTGCCCTTCTACCCAGCCCCTGCTCCCCAACCCCGCTCATGCTCTCTCTCTCTCAAATAAGTAAATAAAATCTTAAGAAAAAGAAGAGAAATCACAATCAGTACAACCTTTTGTAAGGGAATTTGGCAAAATCTGACGAAGTACTCACAGGCTTACCTTTCGGCCTGGCAGTGCCACCCTGGGCGGGTCCCCAGAACATACATCTCCACCAGGGTGAACCTAGCTGGGGACAAAGTTGTCCACTGCTGTATTGTGTGTCGTTCCAAGATCCAAACTCCCCCATACACAAGAGTGATTGAATAACCCACGATACTTCCACGAAACAAGGGGCGTCACACGGTAAATACAATGCGGAAGATCTCCATGAACTGATAGGACGTGATTTCCAAGGCACATAGTTCCGTGAAAAAAGCAAAGTGCAGAAGAGCATTTATTGAGACCCTTCCAGAACGGTGGCATGAGGAGCTCCAGTGGAAACAAACTGGTGGAAGTTAAGAAAAGAGAACGGAGGAGGAGAACGGAGGGGCGCCTGGGTGGCTCAGTGGGTTAAAACCTCTGCCTTGGGCTCAGGTCATGATCCCAGGGTCCTGGGATCAAGCCCCACATTGGGCCCTCTGCTCCGCAAGGAGCAGGGATCGTGACCTGAGCTGAAGGCAGACACTTAATGACTGAGCCATCCAGGTGCCCCATCAAATAATCCATTTTTAACAATAACTTTCATATCGGTATTTTAAGGTTATTTATATTAACTATTCTTCTTGGGTGAAAAACAACTGGAAACATCCCAAATATCTATCAACTCTTCATAACTGAAAAGAATGAACTTCTGATACATGCAACAAATGGAAGCTGTGAGCTAAAGCCTCTCAAGAAGCATATACACTGGAGCTCCTGGGTGGCTCAGTTGGTTAAGCAACTGCTTTTATCTTAGGTCATGATCCTGGAGTCCCAGGATCGAGTCCCACATTGGGCTCCCAGCTCCATGCAGAGTCTGGTTTCCCCCTGACCTTCTCCCCTCTCTTGCTCTCTCTCTCAAATAAATAAATAAAATCTAAAAAAAAAAAAAAAGCGTGCACACTGCACCCTGAATGGAATACATATGTTAACCACCCTGGAATCAAAATTTTGAAAAAATAAACTGGTTCACCAAGGATGAGAATTCGTGTGGGAAGTGAAAGGGGCCACAATGGAACTTTCTGGATGTATGGAAATGTTTTATACATTGATTGTAGTGGTGGTTATACTGATACATATGTTTGTCAAAGCTGATCAAACTATACACTTAATATAGGTTCATTTTATTTTACTCAGATTATATATCAAAGTTAATTAAAACAAAATAGAAAGCAAAAAAAAAAAAAAGCCTGGTGTTTTCCCTGTCTGCTCATATGTAAGGAACAATAAGAATGAGAGAGGAGGCTTTTCAAAAGGGGGTTTCATTGTAGGGAGATCTGGGAGGGCTGTTTTGCGGGAAACTCTTGATGTCAGTATTTTTAGGTCTTCCAAAAAAGAGGCAGTAGGGGCACCTGGGTGGCTCAGTGGGTTAAAGCCTCTGCCTTTGGCTCAGGTCATGATCCCAGGGTCCTGGGATGGAGCCCCGCATCAGGCTCTCTGCTCAGCAGGGAGCCTGCTTCTGCTCTGTCTCTGCCTGCTGCTCTGCCTACTTGTGATCTCTCTCTCTGTGTCAAATAAATAAATAAATTCTTAAAAAAATAAAATAAAATAAATAAAAAAGAGGCAGTAGGCAGTTGAGGCCAGACGACTTAGGGTCAAATACAAGGTCTACCACTCATTTGCTAAATTCCCAATTTCTCTGGGCCTCAGTTTCTTTATCTGTAAAATGGGCATGACTCTAGTGCCTGCCTCTGAGTTAAGGTGAGGATCAAATGAGTTAATGTATATAAAACAATATCTGGTGCATAGTAAGCACTAAATAAACATTAGCTGTTATTGTTATCATTATTATTCAGTCAAGACACTTCCAAAATCTTCTGCCTTGAAAACAGAATCCTGGCTCTCACTTCATAGGAGGGAAAAGAAAGATTTCTGGGGTTGGAAAAAGCTGGGTTGGAGAAAAGGGCTCGTTTATTCTCTTTGCCCTTTTTCCTGGGAAAGGGGGAGATTATGCCCTTATTTTCTCCTATTATATTTTGGTGAGCTTGGGGAAGGAGCAGAAGTGATATATCAGTTTATCCCCGAAGGTTCCAGGAAGGATTTGTCAAGCAAAAGAGCAGTGGAAAGTCTTATTACTAAGGAGCTGAGGTGATCTGATCACATAAAAATTTAAATTATATATATTAAAAGCATCATAAGTAAAATCTTAACATCATAAAAAAAATTAAAGATAAACAACCATGTGTGGAAAGAACTTGCAACAAAGGTAGTACGGAAATAAAGACCTACTCCTGTAAGAACTCAGAGCTTCCTGATCAAGGGAGTCACCACCCACACACGCTTTGGGCAGAGACTGAAAGCCTGCAGGGGAGTGAGAAAGCCTCGTGGCCGCATGGAGTTAGGTGGGGGGATTTAAGATGTGCTTTGATTGGAGGTTTTGGACCCAGAGAATGTGGATGCAGGCTAACTAGACACAGAGCATCTTATGTGATTAGTTGGGGGGAGGGGAGGCGGATGTTTGGTTTTCTCAAGCTGATCCTGAGTTGGAAGTTGGAGGGAGGAAGCAAAAAAATGGGGAAAGCAACAGTCATTGATCAAGTCCTGATGTTGTGGGCAGGTTACTACAGAGGTTGTGGTTTGGTGGCCTGGACGGGCTGCTGCAGGGGCTGTGGGACAGAAGTCTATGGTCACATGAGGTCTGTTGTCTGTATTTACACTCAATCTCTCAGTTAAAGTGTATAACATGTGAAGCTTATACAAAAGGGATAAGAAAAACCTAGGTGTCTCCAATAGATTAAACCATCAAGGATACAAAGTATGATTTTTATATTTGTAATTAGAAGTAGCCAATTCAGTAGACTCAAATCACAGTTAAGTTTGGTTTATGCATAACCGATTGCAAACGCTCAAGAAAAAAAGAAAGCGGTTCACTCTCTTGTTCACCACAATGAGTGTGTGTCACAGGCAATGCAGACTTGGCATGGCTTTGTTTTCAAGAAACAAACTGTAGAATTAATTATGATGCAAAGAGAAACACTGATAACAAGTAAGAGGAACTGATAATATCAGCTACAGAAGATACAATTAATTTTTTATGGATGATTTAAGACAGTGTTTTCAAACTATGGGTTATGATCCATTAGGGGGTTTGAGATCAATTTACAGGGCAATCAGTATTTAAAAAAAAATAGACTGGTATAGAATAGAACAGAATATTGTCTTTTTGCCTTATCAGTTAACTTTTAGAACCCAACATTTGGGTAAAATGTGACACCAGTGTCAACACTGAAATAATTCAACCTCATAGGAGAAGTATGTAGGGATAAAACAAGATACTGTTTGTCTGAACAGAGCTACATCCGGGGCACCTGGGTGGCTCAACATCACTAATCATTAAAGAAATGCAAATCAAAACCACAATAAAATACGACCTCACACTCATTACGATGGCTACTAAAAAAAAGTGTTCCCAGGGATATGGAAAAATTGGCTCCATTATGAAACGTTGGTTGGGGGGCACATGGGTGGCTCAGTCAGTTAAGCAGCTTCCTTCGGCTCAGGTAATGATCCCAGGGTCACTGGATCGAGTCCCACGTGGGGCACTTGCTAAGCAGAGATCCTGCTTCTCCCTCTGCCTACTGCTTCCCCCTGCTGTGTTTTCTCTCTCTCTCTCTCTTTGACAAATAAATAAAATCTTTAAAGAAAAAAAAAAAAAAAAAACGTTGGTGCGATTGAAAAGCAATGCAGCCACTACAGAAAATGGTATAGCAGTTCCTTAAAAAATTAAAAATGGAAAGCCACATCACCCAGCAATCGCACTTATGGATATACATCTTAAAGAATTGCAAGTAGGGTCTCAAAAAGACATTTGTACACCCATGTTTGCTTGTTTTTTTAAAGATTTTATTTATTTATTTATTTGACAGACAGAGATCACAAGCAGGCAGAGAGGCAAGAGAGGGCAGGGGGGGTGGGGGTGGGGAGCAGGCTCCCTGCTGAGCGAAGAGCTCCATGCAGGGCTTGATCCCAGGACCCTGACACCATGACCTG